GGGGGTTTTTTTTTTAAAAAAAAAAAAAACCCCCTAAAAATTTCCCCCCGACATTTGGGGGCCCTTGGGGCCGTGAAAAGGAAACCCCCCCCCCCCCCCCCCCCGGAACAAATAACCTGTATGAACTCGGCAAAGTGGTACGGTACACAGTAGCGGATTTAAGGGGTTTCCAGTGGTTCCTGACTCCCCGGGGCCGTAGCGATAGTCCGAAGGTTCAATAGTCCGAAGGTTCATTGGTCCGAATGTTCGCTATAGAACCTTCGGACCAATGAACCTTCGGACTATCGAGACGCCCCCGACCCCCCTACGATTCCTGGAAAACATCAAATCAATGGTCCTCTCTTGAAATTAGTATTTCGACAAGCTGAATCATAGTTATAAACCGTACCAAATGGCACCGTTCGCCCTCTAAAATACTAAAAATTTTCCGGTGTAACAGTAATCCAAGTCCACCAGGACCTCGGACCTCGGTTCCTGGTAATGGTTGTCTGTAGGACTAACATTACTTGGGAATAGTAGTCCTACAGGGACGTATGTTCCTGGCTCATAATTAAAGTACGTAGGACTTGTATTATTGTCGGACTTTTATTCCTGTTACACCTATGACAGTAATAAAAGTCCGGCCATTTGAAAGTCCTATCCTTAGCCAATAATACTGTCAAATGATACAACTATAAATGTATATGAAATCCTTCTGGTGAGCTATATATGAGACAAAAAATGAGAGGTTTGCAACTTCAGCTCGTCTGTGTAGTGGTTAGCGTGCAAGACTACAAGGTAAGAATTCTTGAATCCTCTGTTGCATCTATGGGTTCGAGACCCACAATTGACAGGACCTTACTCCCCCCCCCCCATATTACCCCTACTCATTACTTGTAGCAAAATGTTAATGGTGTTTTTAATGTCTAATATGTGTTCGAAATTCCGTCCTCATTACATTTACAATATTTTTGTTTTGTCTTTCAAGTGTCAAAGCACCAAAATAGGAAAGGGTTATTACATAATATTATATACATATATTGCAATTTTCAATTTCTAAACTGTCTTGATTTCTCTTAAATCTCAGCCCATACTTTCCAAGAGCAAATTTCCATCGAGTTTGAGTTTTTTTTTTTTTTTTTTTTAATTTCAGCGAGTGTAAACCAAAAAAAAAAATCTAAGAACGGAGATCCCGCGTTCTGTGTAAAGTTATTTTTCTCTTAGGAATAAGGTTTTGAAAAAGAGAGAGAGGGAGAGAAAATAAGAATTTCGACGCAAAACACAAAAGGTACACCTCAGTAGAAAAGGACATGAAATAATATATGTACACTTTACA